GTGTGTGTGTCTGTCTGTCTGTCTGTGTGTGTGTGTGTGTGTGTGTGTGTGTGTGTGCGTCTGTAAATTGTGAATGAGGATTCGCGATGAAGACGTCATTGACATACCAGTCAGGAGGGCGTCAACACGCCATTCCCCGACCCCGAACCCCATTTCATCGCCTCACCCCCCCCCCTTCTCCCTTGTCCACCACCAACATCGCCACCGTCGCCACCATCACCACCAACACCACCAACACCACGACGCTCATCAACCACCAACTTCCCTCCCCCATCCTATCACCAACTCCATCCTCAAAGACGACCAGCGACTGCTTGTTGAGCCCGCGTGCGCTGCTGCCATCAGCCCGCTGTACTTCCCTGCCGTGGCCAAGGATGCCGGCGTGGATGTGCAAGAGCTCAACGGCCCCGTTGTCGCCATCGTGTGCGGTGGCAGTGGCGTCACCTTCAAGCAGATCCAAGACTGGCGCAAGCAGGTTGGCCTTGCCCCGCTCTAGTCGTCATAGTCGTCGTTGTTGCTGCTCCTGTGGAGGTTTGGCCGGGGGGTGACGTGTTGTGTTGCTGGGAGCTGGCAGCGGCTGTCATGTAGAGGTATGTAGTTTGTAGGACGGTCATTGGTGTGTTCGAAGATTGTTGGAGGCTGCAACTTGGGTGTGTTGTGCTGTTGCTGCAGCTGTGGTTGGCTTTGCGCCCTCGGTTTGTTGTGGTCAAAGGCGAAGAGGTGCAGTCGGTGTTGGTGTTGGTGTTGGGGCGAAGCAATGAATCGTGTGGTTGGTTACATGCAGCGGTCGCTGTTGCTGTGCGGCTATAAGCACTCAAGCGTCATCTTGCCGTTGTTTACTAGTGTGAACACACACATATACACACGCTTCCATGTGGTTGGGAAGCTGTTGAGCATGCGATGAGGGGGGGGGAAGCGAGGTGAAGCAACAAATCGAGCCATTAACTTGTGGGCGAGGGGGCTGTCATACGCTTGAAACTACATTCACATGTGGTCCGACAGCGCAGCGAACAAAGCGCCACACGCACGACAGAATCGACGCGCGCGCACACACACACACGCACGCACGCACGCACGCACGCACGCACACACACGCACACGCACGCACGCACGCACGCACGCACACGCACGATAATGCAATCACAGTACGCGCACGAAAAAACAACAAAAACCGTACGCACATGTGCATTGCATGCAAACGATAATACGCCACATGTAACCCCCTCCCCCATACTTCAGGGGCGTGTGGGCACGCGGTTGCCTGGTTGGCAGCGCCGTCGAAACCGCAAAAGCTCAGCGTCTCGCTCGTGGTAGCGGCGGCAATCACGCACCGTCGCCGCCAGCACACGCTCCTTCGTGCCTGCAGGCACATGATGCAACCCGAGGTCATGGCACGGTAATTCATGATTTGCACAGCGTGGAAGGTGCGCACATACGTGAAATCAGACACAAACTCACATGCACACATGCACATATTCACACATGCACACACATGCGCACATGCACCCATTCTCTGCTCTGCCTCTCCGTCTGCCTGTTTACCAGTCTGTGGATATGTTTGCGCGCAGGGAGCAATCTCTTTCTGCCCAGTCCCACTCCCCTCCCTGCTGCCGCCACCGCCACCACCACCACCACCATGACGTACCCAGGTCGTGGATGTCCTTCGCCAGCTCGCGCTGTGCGGCTGCGAGAGTTCGGTGGGATACAGCCTTTGTCTCCAGCGTGTGCAGCGCAGAGCGCTCGCCGTGTGCCTCCTGGTACACCCGTGCCTGGTGATGACCCAGAGATGGTGATGGTGGTGGTGTGATGGTGATGGTGGTGTGATGGTGGTGTGATGGTGGTGTGATGGTGGTGGCGGTGCAATGAGGTCGCGCATCGTATGCAATCATCGCGCAACCACAGCAGTGACATGCACTCATCGTTGACTTGGAATGTCCTTCCACAATCACCAACGATAATGAATCAAGACCACCAATCACCACCAGCATGAATCACACCAGCCAACCAAAGTCAACAATCATCACCACCTTCATCACCAACCACCACCTTCATCACCAACCACCACCGCCACCACCAGCCACCACATGCACCCAACTCACGCGTGGGCGGGTTGCGCTGTCTGCGATACGATGGAAGCGCCCTTCTCTTGGGCCCCTGTTCGTCTCGAATATCACTTCCGCCCTGGCTGCAACCGTGCGTGAGTGGTGCAGCATCGTCCGCGCCTCCCCGCGCGTCTGGTGCAGGTCGGCCTTCATGTTGGGGGATGGATGGAGGGCGTGGATGGGGCGATGCGTGCCAGAATGAAGGACAGTTGCAAAATGTGAGCGAGGTGTGTGTGCAGGTGATGTTGAGAAACAAGAAGAAGAAATGCACACATGGTCACGTCCTGTAAATGCGCAAGCACACAAATTCATTCACACACACACACACAAATACACACACGCACACAGATACACAGATACAGACACAGACACACACACACCGCGCGCGCACACACGCACACACACACACATTCACACATACGCACACACACATGCACACATACACATGCACACACACAACACATGCTGTCTTCCTTCCTCCCCCCCCCCAAAAAAAAAAAAAAACTCTCAGGCCCACCTCCGTTGATCGAGTGCGGGTCTTGGCCGTTCGAAGCTTGTCATCCACCGCCTTCATCGCTTGCGCCAGGTCGCTGCGTGCTGACACCATGAGCGACGTTGCGTCATCGCATGCGCTTGCCGCTGCTCTGATTGCATCACGCAGTTGCACCACAACTGGGGGAGGCGTGCCCTGCGGCCGTGGATACGCCTGCACACTCCCACTGTACGATTCTGTGTTAAGGGACAACGCCTTTGTCTCGTGTTTGATGACGGAAGCCGCTGTCTTAAGCGCGGCATTTAGCGCATGCGATGCCCCCGTGTTGATGCTGTGTTGCTTGCTCACGGCCGCCAGCACCTCTTTCGCCACACGCTGCTCGTTCTGCAGCTCAAAGGTGACGGCATCGGGTACCGAGCCCACGTGCCCGCGACGCGAAATGCTCTCTCGGTTCAACCACACTGCGCGGCGGCAGTGGTCTTCGAGAAACGCAGCCAGCTTTCGTGTCGTGCGCTCCAGCTTGCGGGCCTCTGTTGATGGAAAGCAACAAAACGGATGAGGAACGTGTATGAAGGAGCAGTTCCGAGCGATTTGCGGTGATGGTATTGGCAACGGCAGCAATGTTCCATTTATAATGATACACACACAGACATCCACCAAAGCACAAACACCACACACACACTCACACACACACACTCACACACACACACACACACACACACACACACACACACACACACACACACACACACACACACACACACACACACACACACACACACACACACACACGACGACGACGT